GCATGCTTGTAGCGACAGTGGAGAGGAAAAACTCCCTTTGAACAGGAAGAAACCTCCAGCAGTTATATATATATTAACAGATGATATATTTTAGTCTTTTTTCATTACCTTCATAAATAACTTATAAAAGTTAGTAAATATAGTCAAAATATGGAGCTTTTATGGCCCCATTTTCCTCTGACTGGACAGTTTGTAGAGGTTCTTTAGGTTAAAAAAAATAATTTTCATTTAATTTAAAAGGTTTTTATTTAGCTTTTTTGCCGTCAGGAAAAAAAAAACAAGTTGTAATTCCAATTTCTCTTTGTGTTAATGTATGGGAATACTCCACATAATTATAATTTTATTCTCTATAAAACTAGGCTGAATTAAGACGTCACTTATCAGACTTAAAACTGTATAAATCTTTAGGGAAAAATACATGTTGCTGTTTCAACTTCTTGGGATTACAGCGATTATTATTTAAATTATTATTGGTTTTCTGTTTTAACCCTTTATAGGGCATTCATTGAAATACTCTGAAAATCTAAATTTATAGTCAAGAGTTTTATTGGAGAAAGGACAAGATCTTTTTAATTTTTTCACATTAAAAAAATATATATTTTGATGGCAAGGATTAATGTCAATGTAATAAAAGGAAAAGCCAACTTGCCTGAATATGTGAAGGAAAATAACAAAAGTTCTTCTATAAGAAATAAATGAATAACACTCTTTATTTTGGTCCAACTTAACCTTAGAGGCATTAATGCTGATACTGGCACTCACATTTTTTACCTTTTTTAAAGGTATACTATGCAACCGGTGTTGATTTTCCAGCGAGGCTCCCCCCAGAGGGCGAAAGTAAAAGTGCACTGTCGTAAATATGCTCAGCTGTTCTCCTGGTTTCTCCATCAAGCCAGGCGCGGTTGTTTTGAGATTAGCAGACAGGCGAACGCAACGAATCACCATGTCTACTGCGGTAAGTGACTATTTTGTTGTTTTGTTTTCATACATTATTTGTTATGCATGTGTCTAAATCAGTGACGTGCGGTGAGGTTCATAGCTGGTGAGGCACTGACGTCATCAGAATCAGATTTGCAAATAGATGCATAGATTGACAGCAGTTTACAGGTTATGTTTCACTTCTGCATCCTTACACATACAAACTGTAGCTCACAAAACACACATTTCCTTAAAAAACAAAACAAAATAAATGTTATTACTGTCTTACCTTTACTTATAAATGAATAGAAGTCCTCCTTATCTTCCTTCAGTTTTAAAAGTCTCTCTGTCTCAATGGAGATCACTGCCAGGGAAGAAAGCCTTCCTTGATCCGTCCTGTTCCTGCCTTATGTTTTCAGTCTCTTGAGCACCCCCTGCCATGAGGCAAGAGAACTGCCTGCCTCACCTCGAACTTGTTCTCTGCCGTTTATAATCGCTCATTACACGAAACACGTTACACAAACACAGTTGGTGACAAAAAGCTCTGTACATTATATACATAAGCCAAATTATTAGAAATAAGTTCACATATTACATTTGTTTAAACCATTTTATTGACGCCGTACAGCAACATGCTCTCTCCGCTTTGCAGCCAGCGCAGAGCCAGGGGTTGCGCAATCCAAGGTGAGGCAGAGCTCGCTGCTGCCTCACCGGCATCGCTTCCAAGCATTTGAATGGGAAAATAAGAAAATTCAGCGATTTTGAACAAATAAAAATCGAAATTGGTGAAGCTACATGAAAAATGAATATTTTTTAGTACAAACCACCGGATGAATATAACAATTTAAATTACTTTATGATTATATATTTTCTTTCTTTCCATGATGGCTGGTGAGGCACTGCCTCACCTGCCTCCCCTGACCGCACGTCACTGGTCTAAATAACAAAGATTGTAGTTAGCCAAATTCTTGCCGTAAAGCAAGAGTGACTCTGGCGATGCACGAGACTTCTGAGCCTGTGGGTGCGGGCCGAGGGCTCCTGCAATTGCAAGTGTGGTATTTCTCCCACAGACCACCAGGGTGGCAGAGAAAACCTTCGTTCAACCTGAAATGACTAATTTAATCATCCAAAACGTTATGGAACACATTAATTAACTGAAAAATGTTGCATAGTATGCCTTTAAGCTTAGCTTATCAAATTAGTTTTTACTTTTCAATTATCTTTTTAACTTTTTTTCTTAACTTGTTAACTTCTTTTCCGACTTAATTTCCAGCAGGTAAAAAATCATTTAAGGGCCCATCTAATTGGTCAAATGCCAGAATAAGAGTGCAGCCATGTAGCAGCATCTTTGCTGAATCGATGGAAATAGATCTGTGTTTCTAGACCTCACTGATGGACGGGGGGGGGGGGGGGGGGGGGGGGGGGGGGGGGGGTTACTCCATTTGTAACTTGCCCTATAAAGCCTTAAGCATTGGATAAATTGGTTTAAATTGTCGTATCACTAAATGTTTGAACAGAAAGTCTTTTATCTCACAGGCTGCGTACCTCTGGAACTGCCTGGGTGGGGGTGACCTCTTTTATTCCTTATCTGGTTAAAAAATCCCGCTTCTATTAACTGATGGTATGAATGCTTATAGAAATAAACCACTTAGAGCAGTCATGCATGTGGGCTGTGAAACGTGTAGCAGCTGGAGACAATAACTGGAGGCAGCATGATGGAGGCAGCCTAACTCTATAGGTTCTGTGTTTTAAACTCGTCTCTTGGTCGATTTGATGAAGATAAATACAAAAAGGCAAAACTAAGATCAGGGGCGGTCTTTCCACTAGGCAAACATAGGCAGGTGCCTAGGGCCCCAAGTTCCTGGGGGTGTTATGGTTCTCATTTGTTGTGACTCTGAGTTTTCAGTTTTCTGTTATCAGTTGTTTTGTTTTTATTTTCCATGATATTCTAGCATTCTTTAGTTACTCTCTGCTGCCCCCTTGTGATTGTTTTCTTTCCCCTTGGATTCCCTCTTGCCAGTTCCACCCACACCTGCTCATCATTCAGCTCGTTAGTCCATCCTTTTCTTTGGTTCTCCTTAAATACTCCAGCTCTGCAGTCACTCAGTGCTGGTTCCTTCTCTATGCTGTACTCAGTTCATCTCCCCGTGGCTCCTCAGGATCGTTTTCCCCCTGATGTCTCCATGGTTTTTGGTTTGTTAAACATTTTTGTTAGATTTCTGGATTTGTACCTCTGTTTCCTTTGTTCTTCAATTAAATCAGTCAGAACTCATCTCAGCTTCATTCGGCTCTGCATCCGGGTCCTCAAGCAACCTAACCACCCATCGCCGACAGAGGGCCCCATAAAACTCTGTTTCCACGTATGGTTAATACAACTATTCCTTATTTGTTCACATTAATTATGTTTTTGATAAAAATCCTTTGGCTAAAATGTCATCAGAACGCTGATAATATTAAGTGTGTCTCAGCCCCCCCCTTCAGTGTCCACCATATTGGATCAGTCCATTTGCTGCACATGTTCAGAAAGGTCCAAACAGACAGCAGCAAACCATTTGAAAACAAACCATGCAAAGAGCAGTGTTGCCAACTTAGCGCTTTAGACGCTATATTTAGCCACTTTTCAGACCCCTCTAGCACTTTGATTTCTAAAAAGCTCCTAGCGCCAAATCTAGAGACTTTTTTCTGCTACTGGAGACTTTGGAGACAACATCTAAAAGCAGCGAACTCTGCTCTCCAGAGCGAGTAGATTGGTAACCCCGCCTCCTGCTCTCCTCTATCTTGTCTGCTGTCATGATTCATGCAGCTATTATTTCATCCAAATGAAAAATGGAGAACAGATAAGCAGATCATGGCTTGTCTACAGTGAAAAGAAGGACTGGGTTATTTACTTTGGCCTTTTTGGAAACACAGGAAGGAGCAATCAGCTAAGTGAGCTTAGTGCTTGGAAAAAATCTTTCATTCATTTAGAGACAGCATGAAAAGTCAGCTGAGTACAAAACATAGAGAGGAAAACAAGAAGAAAAGGGACAAGAAGAGAGGGACACAACCTAGAACAGATAATGGATGTCTATTCTATTAACATTTCTCTATCTGGAGAATGGGTCTGTTTATATGTCGTCTTCTGTATTCAGAGGGCCCCTGAAAGATGCATTCCGATGGTCCAACTACTTCAAACCATCTTTATGGGCTTTTATTCAATTTAGGAAGCAAATAAATCGTTTCCTGAGTCACTCCTCATCTATAACGCTGTGGTTACACTGTCTGGATTATCTAGAATATCAATTATAGAGTATAAACATCATTAACATGTCATATACACTGGAAAAAATCGAATTCTAGATAAGTAATTTTTTATTAAAATAAGTGCATTTGTTCTTGGATTGAGGAGGTAAAAGAGACATTTTGCCAATGGAAGAAGACAATTTACCTGTAAAAAAAGAAAACACAATTGCATTGTATCTAATTATCTTATTTTAAGAGTAAAAATACTCATTCCATTGGCAAAACACCTCATTTACCTGCTTAAATTAAGGGTAAATACACTTAATTTAAGACATTTGTTGTTGTTTCTAGATCGTTTTTCCAGTGTATAATGTTGTGATGCAGAGCTGATAATACATAATTATGTGTACCTTGTTTTTAAAAGTTTTACTGTAAAATTGTTACTGTTAATATTTAGTTTTTTAAATACATATTTAGCTCCAAGCTAAATATGTATTTAAAAAACTAAATATTTATTTAACAAACTAAGTATTTAGCTTGGAAAATAAATATTTAGCTTGCTAACAATTGTTTTAAAAGTCTGATCTCTTTTATGCAATTAATCTCACTAAAGATACATGTTTTATATATGCTCTTTAAATATATTTAGATTTTATAAATGATGCATTTAAAAGAGTTTTCATTATTTTTTTAAGTGAATTGTTTTTCTTTGTCTGGTTAGAATATAAACAATGCTTCCAAACAGACAAACCAAGAAATCTCTGTAACATCGGTGAAGTTAAATAAAAACTAAAAACCTACGACATTATCTAATGATTTAAAGTCATTTTGATCGTGACAAACATCTCTGCAGCGCTAACCTCCAGCACGGTGACCAGGAACACCAGGGCTCCGATGGTATTCATTATGCCGCCATAGTAGGACAGCAAGGCGTTCCTGCAGCCGCGGCGCCACACGTTGAGCTCCTCGGTGTAATGGTCGTAGCTGTAGTGAGCCGAGTTGTTGGTCATCTGGTACTGGATGCAGGGTCTGGGGGAGCTGGGGTTGCAGCAGCTGAACGGCACGCCGTCCATCAAATACTGGCCGTCCACGTTGCTGCCGATGCGACTGACAGGGAAACACAAAGGTCAAAGAAGATGAAGGATGAGCCGAGATTCAGCCTCTGCTGGGGAAGATTCTCAGTCATCCAGACAACAGTCATTCCTAAAAAGTTAAAAACAATCCACTGGACTTTATTTCCAAGTTTGAAGACGTTTCACTTCCCATCCTGAATTATTTTTCATTTCCTCAGGTTCAATTTGCATGTTTTCCAGGCTAAAAACAAGCATGTTTTTGGTCCACTCTATAAAACCTGGAACTCAAAGCTATTTCTGACATTTTGAATTGAAAAATCTTCCAGGATGGGAAGAGAAATGTCTTCAAACTTGGAAATAAAGTTGTTGTTTTTTAAACTTTTTTTTGGAATGAATGAGATTACAGATTGCCGGATTTACAAAGGTTTATCAAATCTGAAATAAACTAAACTCCTCTTGTGATTTGGTTCAATTTCCCCTTTTTACAGTAATTCCATCTCAGTTCCTTCCTTTATTTCACAGCCCTGAACAAACCACCATGTCCCAACATCAATTCAACTTCTTGCACTGCAAAAAATTTAAATCTAAATAAGTAATTTTTTCTTAAAATAAGTGCATTTTATCCTGATTTAAAGAGATAAGTGAGACACTTTGCCAATGGAACAAGACAATTTAAATTTGAAATAAGAAAAATCAAGTGCATTGTCTTATTTCAAGTGCATATTATCTAATTAACTTATTTTAAGTGTAAAAATACTCATCCCATTGACAAACTATCTTATTTACCTGCTCAAATTAAGGGTAAATACACTTGATTTAAGAAAGTTTTACTTACTTTTAGATTGTTTTTGCAGTGTGGAACGTCCCAATCTGATACGGATATGGGAAAATTGTAACCTGACTCCGCCAGATGGATTTGCTCTGCATATCCATCTGGAAACCTTCCGTTGAAGTAATTTTGGGAAGGGGCAAAAATACTGGTTAGCTGATTGGCCTATGTTGGTGATAGACGGGCCAAATAAACCAATCAGATCAACGAAGCATATGACGTACTAACAGAGCGACGACGAAAACACAACCACAAGCCAGGCTACTCTTGCTGAAACCAGTCGGGAGAAGAGCAAAAACATCTTTTCCTCTGAGAAAAGCCTCCAGAGCAGTGTTTTGCTCTTCTTTCAGTCAAGAAATACTCTGTAATTCCCATAAAACTTGCTCGATAGCCACGCTAACGCTAGTTTCATCGGCTGAAGCCGCCATGTTCTTTAGACTGAACTGTCGCGCTTCTCGTTGCGTCACACCTCAACCCGCCTCAAAGCCAACGCTGATTGGACGTTCGTTTGGTGAACGGCTCCAAATTTTCTTTAACGGAGAGTCTCCAGACTGATCTGCGAGTGAAACCTTGAAAGCTCGCGAGATCAGGATGGTCTCACGAGGCTAGGAAATTTGTGCAATAACAGACAAAAAAACAAACATCGAATAAAATATATTGGTCTGCATCTAAATTCTGATAAAGATGCTGATTTTTGCCGTTTCTGTCTTGTTCACTTTTATAACATGTTGCTGTTTCATCTCTGCTATTGCTGCTATTTTCACATATTAATTACTGTAAAAATGTCCACAGCTGTTTATTGATTTTTTTTTTTTCAGGTAGAGAGAATTTATATTGTTAAGACAATGTACAGTACAGTATTTTATTGTCTTTGTCACTTATTCTGTTATTTTTATACACTTTTATTTTGAAAATCCACATTTGTGTGACCAATTTTTTCTAGAATCTTTTCCTGCTTTAACCAAAATTTCCTCATTTTGGGACAATAAAGAGATTTTCTTTTCTATTCTATTCTCTTCTGTTCTATTCTTTGCTTCTGTTTAAAGGAAAAGTCGCTCATATTCAGAATTCAAACTTCTGAAAGTTCTTTAATTATGAAATTGTTCCATCCTGTTCAATAAATGATAAATGTTTCAATAAAAATAATTTCATTTGAATGTGCTTTACTGGAGGCATCTATGTTTGTCAAAGACTACATATGTCAGTTACTATATTTGGGCAAAAATGGCCGCTCCCAGATAGCAACACAAATTATTTGAATATTTTTACCGATTTAAGCTAAATTCATTAAATCGCGTAATAGTTTTAGTTATAGATAAAGTTCCATTTGTTATTCTTTGCTGACCTGACTTTTTAAAAATAAATAGATCAGTTATTGGTTATTGTTCTTTGTTTGAATATCTGATATACTGATATATCATACTGATATATCATATCGGGTCAATATCGGTATCCATCACTATCGTGTCAGAAGTGAAAAAGTCGTATCTCCCTAAAAGCTGCTCGAATCTCTAGAATAACCCAAATAAATTTTACTAAAGACTTCCTCTCGGTCTCTTTTATGGATTTTAGTCGCTGAAATCTTCTGAGAAGCAACAGACTGAGACTCCAGATCAGGGGTGGGCAATTCCAGTTCTTGGGGGCTGGTTTCCTTCAACTTTTAGATCCATCCTTGCTCCAACACACCTGAATTTAAAGGCTTGGTTACCTTCTTAGTATGCAGTCACTTCCTCCAGAGTTCTCTCAATCATCTAATTATTTGATTCAGGTGTGCTGAACCAAAGACACATCTAAAAGTTGCAGGATAGCGGCCCTCAGGAACTGGAATTGCCCACCGCTGCTCCAGATGAAACCTTAATTCCTCCAGATGAGCTGCTGCTGAAATGTTGCATCGAACCCTTAGATTTTCCAGCAGTGAACTCTGGGTAAACATAGAGAAGATCTGAAACATCAGCGTAGAAGCAGCGCCGCCATCCTGTGGGTTTATGTAAGACATTAGCAAGACGTCATGTTCTTACAGATGAGGATTAGGGCCACAGAGAAATATAAAAGTTAACTGATTTTTACACTTTTGTTTAGTTTAATATGGAAAAAAAAAGTCAGAATTCTGACTTTAATCTAAAAAAAATGTCTCAATGGATGGGAAATGACGGAGTTAGGCGACTTTTTCCGTCTCTGAGGATCCCTGCTGATGCTATTTGATTAACGGAGGAGCAGAAGGTGATTAAAACAGGAGAGCTAGACTCTAAAACAGACATGGCTACGGCTTGATGCTAACATGTTTGTTAGCTGTCAGAATTCAGACATTAAAGTCAGAATTCTGAGTTTTTTCCTATATTAAACTGACATAATATTTAAAAAAAAATTTAACTTTTTTTTTTCATTCATTGGCCCTAATCCTCTTCCTTATTTTCTGCACTGCAAAAAACACAAATCTAAGTTAAGTCATTTTTTCTTAAAATAAGTGCATTTTTTTCTCGAATTGATCACAAAAGTGAGACACTTTGCCAATGGAACAAGACAATTTACATTTAAAATAAGAAAAAACTATTGCATTGTCTTATTTCAAGTTCATATTATCTAATTATCTAATTTTAAGAGTAAAAATACTAATTTCATTGGCAAATCATCTTATTTACCAACTAAATTAAGGGTAAATACACTTTATTTAAGACATTTTTACTTATTTCTAGATCGTTTTTCCAGTGTAAGACAATCTTTCTTTAAATAAGCATATTTTCCCTCGATTCAATCAAGGAAGTATGAGAATTTATTAATGACATAAGATTGTTTGCATTTAAAATAAGATAAAAATCGGTGCAATCCTTTATGTGCATCTCAGTATCTTATCTTAAGGACAGAAATCCTGCTTCCATTCATGGATCATTTTATTTACCTGCTCTAATAAAGTCAAATACATTTATTTAAGATTTTTTTGTGCCCGTTTTTAGATGTTTTTGCAGTGTAGGTGTTGCACTGCAAAAACTAATATAAATATGTTTTTTAAATAAGTGTATTTTCTTTTGATTTGTAAAGGTAAAAACAAATGACCTTTTATTTGAGGCAATTTATTATTAAAATAAGAAAAAGAAAACCTATTTTAGTACTTAATAGTCTTATTTCAGGTTCATTTTCTAATTTTAAGGGCAGAAAATCATTATTTTATCACATTTTTTACTAATTTAAGCCATTGTTTGCAGTGTGACAATCTGCATCTAAAAAAATGGACATGAAATAATAAAAAAAAATAGGCAAAGAGAAGAAGAGGAAAAGAAGAAATGACCAACTTCCAACTAATTTACTGGAATGGCAAAAACTATCTTGGGTTAATTTCTTCATTCTTTTCTGTGTCGTAACCATGACAGCGGCCTAATGTTTGTTTTTAAATCATTTTGAGCTTTTTTTCTACGTGTTCTGGACAGAAAGAGTATTTATTTTGGTTGATATTCCTGCCTGAAGTTGTTAACTGTTTTAAAATATCACAGGATTAATATTCCGAATTAATCCAGATTTCTATATTCATGGCTTCCACACTGCAAAAAATCTAGTCTAGATAAGTAATTTTTTCTTAAAATAAGTGCATTTATTCTTGAATTGAAGAGGTAAAAGAGACATTTTGCCAATGGAACAAGACAATTTACACTTAAAATAAGAAAACACAATTGCATTGTTTTATTTCAAGTGCATATTATCTAATTATCTTATTTCAGGAATAAAACTACTCATTCCATTGGCAAACTATATAATTTACCTACTCAAATTAAGGGTGAATACACTTAATTTGAGGAATTTTTACTTATTTCTAGATCGTTTTTGCTGTGCAGATAGAGAGCACTTTTTCTCACCCCAAAAAATGAAGGAATGAAAAAACAAATGAAGTAAAAGAAGTAAAGTTAGAGATAAACTGAAAAACATGGCTGATATTCTGGAAATGGAAATCTCAAACAATACGGTTAAAATTGTATTGAAATAAGTAAAGGAGGAACTGATGATACCTCAGGAGCCTGACCTTTGGACCAAAACTAAATTAAATGGAAAAAAGGTCAAATTAACATTGACGCTGTAGCAAAAACAATCTTTCCTGGTTTGGAGAGAAAAATTAAAGCATAAAACAAAATCTATACTTTAGCAGAGCCATTAAAATGACATTTTGTGGCTTTTACTCATCATTTTTCATTCTGATTTGTACATTTTCTTCTACTTTGACACCAAATTCTGCATAGAAAGACTTGAACTTTTCCCAGAGAGCATGTATGCGGATTCTAAGCGTCTGCAAAGCAGTCGATTAAACGTGTGAGCAGATCTGGGTCAGAGATCCGAGGCTGATCTGAGCTGTGACTGATGCTAGCAGGTCAATGGAAAGCCGAGTGTGATTGGATCACGAAGCATTAATTATTTCCAGAAACCTCCACGTTCTCGCTGCACGCAAACAAACGTGCCCCAGATTGCACTCCTCAGAGTTAAAGAAATTTACTTTAACCGTTAAAACAATCTATAGCGAAGAAGGTGACGTTAAAAAAAGCAGGAGATGTTTAGTATTCTTGTTGTTCTTCCTGCCTGCTGCTGATGAGCAGAGCTATTCTTGGACAGCTGTCGGGTTTTTGCAGATTAGAAAGGACACTGATTCTTGAAGGACACGTAATCCTGTAAATTAAACACTAATTATGTCCCAAGTTTCAAAACTCTCCCCTTTTCATTTGTATAAACAAACGTAAACAAAATCCCTGGATTTTAAAAACATGCGATAAATTACAGCAGAATCATCTTAAAAAGCAAATTTTTTTAAATCTTCCAGCAATAAATCAAACATCCAGCGCTAAAAACACCCGGTGTTTTACTCTGATTGGTGGAAGGTGGAAAATACACCTGATCTGATTCAACTTCAGCCAAAATCAAACTATAGCAAACTCTACACATAAAAAACAAAACCTAACTTTGAGCACTGAGGCTAACAGGGAGCTAATTTCCCGGTAAATCATTACCACACTGGAAAAACGATGTACAAATAAGTGAAATTTTCTTAAATTAAGTGTATTTACCTTTAATTTGAGTAGGTAAATGAGATAGTTTGCCAATGGAATGAGTCATTTTACTCTTAAAATAAGATAATTAGATAAAATACACTTGAAAGAAGACAATTAAATTGTGTTTTCTTATTTTAAATGTAAATTGTCTTGTTCCATTGGCAAAATGTCTCTTTTACCTCCTCAATCCAAGATCAAATACAATTATTTTAAGAAAAGATGACTAATTTAGATTTCCATTTTTTCCAGTGCATAGTTGGTAAAGTTAAGCAGTCAAATATTAGGAGGATTATTTATGCTTATTTAGTTTTAAGAAAAAAATTAAAGGGTTACTTTTACCAATAAATTTTTTCGCTGTGTGATTCATTCATTTATAAAAATCAAAGACGCAAAATAAATATTTAGATTGTCACTTAAAACAATTGTAAGCAAGCTAAACTAAATACTTAGTTTTTTTTAAATAAATATTTAGTTTTTGTTTTTGTTTTTTTAAATACATATTTAGCTCCAAACTAAATATCTATTTAACATAAAAAATTTGATTTCCAGATTAAATATTTAGCTAGCACCAAGCCAGATAAAGCATTAGCTAGATTGGTGCTGGCTAAATATTTAATTTGCAAACTAAATATTTATCTCCTAGTGGGTTGGGTTGCAATGCCCGGTTCAATTCCCACTGCCACCATTCTAGGTCCTTGAGCAAGACCCTTAACCCCACACTGCTCCCCGGGTGCTGCACAATGGCAGCCCACTGCTCCTGAACAGGATGGGTTAAAATCAGAGGTAAATATTTCCCATGTGAAATCAATAAAGTTCAATTATTAATGAATATTTATTTAATAAACTAAGTATTTAGTTTGTTAAATAAATATTTAGAATGCTGAGAAATATTTTAACTGACAATCTAAATAGTGAATGACAGAGTTCAAAAAAGGAACTCCCTTATTTTTCTCCTAAAACACACTAAATAACCATAAATATAGCTCTTAATGTTTGACTGATTAAATTTACAAACGGCTCTCCATACTTGATGGCAGGATTGTCACTCACTCTTTGACTTCCTTGGAGCTGAAATCCAGGTAGCGGTTGCTGACCCACTGGATCTCAAACCAGTCCCTGTAGTTATCGTTCCCGCAGCAGCGGAACTCCATCTGCATGAGGTCCAGGGTCCTCTTCATGTAGCAGCGGCCCGGCGTGTCCGTGTCCTTGTAGTATTTCATGCCGTTCTTTAGACCCTCAGCCAGGGTGAACTGCAGCGGGATCCTCATCACGAAGCACAGCAGCGAGGTGACGACAAGCAGGGCGTTGAATCCCAAACAGAAAACCAAAAAGCTCTTCAACACCGGCTTCCACTTTGCAAACTTCAGCGGGTCCAGGGAGTCGTAGCAGACCTTGCCTCCAAAGGCATTGATCCCGCAGGCTATGAGCCCCATGGTGATGAGCAGGTTGGGCAAGAAGTGGCTCTCGTTGTTGTCCATGAGCTCCGATCGCTTCCGCAGCTCGATCTTGAAGAACAGGCCCAGGCTGAGCACCAGAATACCAGCCAGTACAGCGAACCAGTACATGAACCAGACCGTCTGAGCCAGCTTCACTCGTTTTTTCAAGTCGAACTTGACCACCATCAAAGCCATTGTTCAAAGCGTTGGTGTCCTCGCCTCTGAAGAAAGGTGTCAAACGGCAGAAGCTTTAATGTTTGGAGAAACGTTCCTCAGAACTGGACCTCTTGTTGGCCGGTAGCAGGATTTCCTCAGGATCGTTGTCAGAAGGTATGAATCAGCTCAATGGAAAATCCATCGCCAAGCAAAGCAGTAGAGCGAGGATGATCGGGATCGACCCCACAGCGGTAGAGGAGTCTTATTTCTTCAAAATCATCCCCTGATCCATGGTGCCGAAAAAAAAACTTTAATAAAACCCAACCGCACCTAAATTAGGCTGTTTTTCCCTCTTTCTGAACACACAGGTGAGGCTAATCCTGATGTGGCGTTCTCCAGAGACGTGGAGGATTGCTGAGAAAGCTCATGATTAAACTCAAAGTTGCTGTACGTCATGCTAAGCTCCTCTAAGCAGCCTGATCCAATTAACAGAAATATCCCCCACACACAAGATGAGCCTGATCATAAGCCGCTGCCACGGGCCTTAATTGGTTTGCGGCTTCACGTGGTGGCGTCCGCCTCGCTGGAGCGCACCAGGAGGCTCACCGAGATCAGGAACATGGCAGCAAAGGTAGAAGTGGAGCAAACATTAAGACGGATGGGACCAAAGCCAATAACTTGTTCCAGAACGGGCCTCCATCGGCCTAGAATGTCACAGCTTGTCATGGCTGAAGCCGCTGTCACACCTTGATGATTTATCGAGCGGATTCCTGACGTCCCAGAATCTCCTTAAAACGCTGGAATACGCTGAACTTTCTGAGGATTTTTTAAATTTTGGGCGTATGCCTAGATCAGGGGAAACCAATTAAAAACCAACGGGTCCGAATATAGAAAATCATCAACCAGTAAAGGTCTGGAGACATTTTTAATTTCAATCTGCTACTTTAAACACAAGTTAACGCTGAAATAAAATGAGGTGTTTAAGCATCCGTGTTATACATTAAATAAAATAAATAAAAACAATATTTGAAAAAATTTGAAATTTTTTTCCATTTTTAAATCTAAAGTGTTTTTTTTTTAAGTAGAGAACAACAATCTTTCAGTTTGGTTTATAGAGAATTTCCTGATTCTACGGTGGCCCTGAAGTGCAAACTGCAACTACAAATCTAAAAGCGCAACTACATTAAGGAAATCGCAACTACATAAAGGAAATCGCAACTACATAAAGGAAAGCGCAACTACATTAAGGAAATCGCAACTACATAAAGGAAATCGCAACTACATTAAGGAAATCGCAACTACATAAAGGAAAGCGCAACTACATTAAGGAAATCGCAACTACATAAAGGAAAGTGCAACTACATTAAGGAAATCGCAACTACATTAAGGAAATCGCAACTACATAAAGGAAAGCGCAACTACATTAAGGAAATCGCAACTACATAAAGGAAAGTGCAACTACATAAAGGAAATCGCAACTACATTAAGGAAATCGCAACTACATAAAGGAAAGCGCAACTACATTAAGGAAATCGCAACTACATAAAGGAAAGCGCAACTACATTAAGGAAATCGCAATTACATTAACCTACCGGAAAAGGTAGGTACCAGTGGGAAACGTGAGACATCGCTGATTGGACGACGGCGCCGTTTGACCCTTGAACCGGAAGTCATTCTGCCTGCTGCGGCTTTTGAAAACATGGATATTGTCGGCGCCCCAAACATAGCTGCCGTTATCCAGGAATATTTTGAATCAGGACATACGTACGAGGTGATACTGGATATGCTCAAGACTAATCACCAAATTTCAGTTAGCTTGCGTACACTGAAGACACACTTAAAAGAAGCTGGACTGTTCAGACGACGCAACTTCCGGTTCAAGGGTCAAACGGCGCCGTCGTCCAATCAGCGATGTCTCATGTTTCCCACTGGTACCTACCTTTTCCGGTAGGTTAATGTAATTGTGTTTTCCTTAATGTAGTTGCGCTTTTAGATTTGTAGTTGCAGTTTGCACTTCAGGGCCACCGTATGATTCCCATATTTTCTCAAACCCCTGAACTGATGGTTTGTTATTTTCTTTCCTTTTTCTGTCTTAATGTTGGCAGTGGGCTTTAGGCTGCCCTGCAAGGCTTTAAACCTGGCTTTGAATGGAGACTAAGCCATTCTCAAGCACATATCAAGGTGCTCATTTTGAGCCTGGATCCAGATTTATTGTTGATTCTGTTCATGGTGGAGAATCCTGCTTCACAGCAGCAGGTAGATAGCCTGGTGAGACCATCCTGATCTCGCGAGCTTTCAAGGTTTCACTCGCAGATCAGTCTGGAGACTCTCCGTTAAAGAAAATTTGGAGCCGTTCACCAAACGAACGTCCAATCAGCGTTGGCTTTGAGGCGGGTTGAGGTGTGACGCAACGAGAAGCGCGACAGTTCAGTCTAAAGAACATGGCGGCTTCGGCCGATGAAACTAGCGTTAGCGTGGCTATCGAGCAAGTTTTATCGGAATTACAGAGTATTTCTTGACTGAAAGAAGAGCAAAACACTGCTCTGGAGGCTTTTCTCAGAGGAAAAGATGTTTTTGCTCTTCTCCCGACTGGTTTCGGCAAGAGTTTGATCTATCAATTGGCTCCTCTTCGTCGTCGCTCTGTTAGTACGTCATATGCTTCGTTGATCTGATTGGTTTATTTGGCCCGTCTATCACCAACATAGGCCAATCAGATAACCAGTATTTTCGCCCCTTCCCAAAATTACTTCAACGGAAGGTTTCCAGATGGATATGCGGAGCAAATCCATCTGAACTGGAAAAAATTTAAATCTAGATAAGTCATTTTTTATTAAAATAAGTGCATTTGTTCTTGGATTGAGGAGATAAAAGAGACATTTTGCCAATGGAACAATTTACATTTAAAATAAGAAAATGCAATTGCATTGTCTTATTTCAAGTGCATTTTATCTAAATATCTTATTTTAAGTGTAAAAATACTCATTCCATTGGCAGACCATCTTATTTACCTAATCAACCAGTGTGGCGGATTCAGGTTAGCAGGTTGAGTCAAACATCCTCTAAATGTGCAGGCTCGTCTTTGAGCACGCCATTTCACTTTTCTGTCACCAGTTCCAGGGGTGGAAAGTAATGAATTACATACACAAGTTACTGTAATTGAGTACTTTTTATGAGTAATTTGTAATTTTCTGAGTAGTTTTTGAAATATGTAATTTTTACTTTTACTTTATTAAATTTTAACCTAAATAGTTTTACTTTGCTATATTTAAAACCCCGTCACGTTACTGAGTTTAAAAAAATAAATACTGATGGTGAAAAAATTAAATGTGGCCCTGCCTTGCATTAACCCTTTGTATTGTCTCATAATCCAGCGCTGCGCTTTGGAAGATGGCAGCTGGTAATCACAGCGTAGGGAGTATGGATGAGGAAAGGCCTGAAGAGGAAATATATTCTGGAGATGAAAGCCAGAAAAACCCTCGGCCATATTTGGAAGGATTATTTGTTTTCAAATGCACAAAAGGGAACAATGTGATAATGCAGTGCAACATGTGCCTGCCCAGCAAAACGGAGCTTTCGGATTTTAAAACATCAACATCCAATTTACGAAAACATGTGGCGTTAATTTAGTTATCATGGTGTCTGTTGGACAGTAGGATTGAAAATAGTTTGCACTTTATGGTTCAGGTTGTGACTGTCCTTGTGCTGTGAGGAAGTATGTTCTTTAGCCCAGCTGATCTTTTGCAGTGTGGATTTCCACTGAAATACGCCTTAAAATCCATTAAAAAACCTTGTGCTCAATTCGATTCATGACTCATCCTTTTTTTGCATTAAATAACTCAAAGTAACTAAGTAACTTTTACTCAAATTTCATTTTAAATGAAGTAATTTTGTACTTTTAATTGAGTAAATTTTGAGATGGGTAATTTTACTTTTACTCTGAGTAGAATTTAGGCATAGTAAAGATACTTTTACTCAATTACAATTTTTAGTACTCTTTCCACCTCTGAGCAGTTCACCGCAGTTCTTCCAGCAGTCCACACTTTCTCTGCTCTCTTTTTCTCATGCTCTTCTCCTTCTTTCCCATCGCCCGGCTTGCCACAGGTTTGCCTGCTGTGTCTAAAAGTAGCAGCAGCAGCAACCCAGACTGACAGCTCATTGGCTCATTTGGATCATGTGCAGCCTGGAGCCGGACGCTCTCCAGGGCTTTACCGTATTAACAGGAGAAGAGGCGCAAGTTAAATTAGACGCTGTCGTTGGACAATATGCGGTTATTTATAAATGTTTTAAATCAGGTTGGGTCTGGATTAGCCTGCAGGTGGATCCACTAATCTGTGACCTCTGACATAGAATATTCAGATCGAGTCCAGAACTTATATCCAACAACAGCCTAACGTATGCGTGACGTACAGCAGCGTAATGCAAGGGTGTACCTTAGTGATTAAAGTTGGTGGGGGCGCTCTACCTGAAGGTGGACTAACTGTAGGTATTTGTATTTTCCAAAAATGAGCTCAAACATCTATTAATTGAATGTTTTCCTATTATTGAGAACACAAGAGAACCAGAATAACTGATATTTATATTTACAGATGTTAGAGAGACGATTTTTAGTGCATTATATATTAATGCATTAAAAAATAATAAATAACAGCCGATTCTGATGCAAAATCATGCATCCTTTTAATTTCAATTCCACCCATCCAGAAAAATGTGGATATGCTTCGTTATAATTATAGCAGATTTCATTGCATGTTGCACATCCTAGTAAATCTGTTTCACCTTCAAATCTGCAGCTCTCCTTGTATACGTGTATGTATGTATATGAATAGGTATATATATTTATATGTACATAGTTTAAATGTTTTATTCTATTTTATGAATCTCTGTAGTCCAGCGAACACTTATTCTGTAATTTTAAATCAGTTTTGGGGAGTTATAGCTGTTTTTATTTATTTTTATATTTGTATTTTATATTGTAGAATGCTTACTGTTGTGTTTTTTTAGGAAGACAATTTTAATATCTGTCCAGGGACAACACATGAAAAATAGCCTTTTGGCTAATTCTGGTGCATTTGCAGGAATGTTTTTTAATGTACACTGTCCCTGTCAAATAAATACAGTAAATAAATTAAATGAATTAAATTCTGTCTGTGCTCGGTTAAAAAAAGATTTATGAACCTGTTTCCTAATAAAATGATGCCAGAAACTAAATTTCAAGATATTTAGAAGCTCTTCCATCTGATTCTATCTGTACAATAAGAAAACATTTGTTTATTTTAACTGAAGAGACTGAGAAGCCATTTTTTTTTTTTACTAGTAAAGAAGAACAAACTGTTCCTCATGCTTCTTGCATTATAACACTAACTAGTATAAACGTACGATTTGTTGCCATTTTTATCTGAAAAAGCTCCGTATGTCAAACAGATTTTTCAGTGGTATGATTTTTTTTTAACCAACCCGTCTCCTAACTTTTACTTAAACATTGAAGTAGCTGCTGGTTAATATTCACTGAGTGCTGCTGTGTTTCTCCCCAGATAGAATCACTCTATGACCGCTTTAGAAGTTCTGTATCTGAGCCAAATAAACCAAGGTAGTGACTCATGAGGTTTATTAGACAGTTAAATATTCAAAGATCTATATTGCTTTTGTTGATTTAGATAATTATGATGATAATATTTTTTATCCACTTATAACTGCAAAGATTTTATCCTCTGGTCTAATTTTACCAAGTGAGCCTGGAAGTTAAAATATCATTTTTTTTTTTTACAATGTTTAAACACAATTCTATGAGTGCAACTGTAGCTGTAATAATAATAAAATAACAAGGAATCAAACAGCTGATATATTGTAAATTAGAGATGATTATTGAAATAATCAGACTGCATTGAATCGTTATATAAAGTAATGATATGGAAGCTAAAACATGTCAGAATAACCTTCCTACACCAGTAATTAAGAAAAAAACTCCATATTTTATATAAAAATATATTAAAGTTTTGTTTGTTGATACATGTAAATATATATTAATTTATGACTATTTACAATTCCACTAAAATATGCAAAAAGATTTTTCTTCATTTAAGCATTTCTTTATTTAAAAATGTTAATTTAATGAAAGTCACACTCAAAAATAAATAACCGATTAGTAAAACAGTCAATGGCTGCAGCCTGAAAGAAAATACATTTCCACCAATATGAACATTGTTAACATTAAAGACACAAAAAAATAACATAGTTTTTAGATTTAAGTCTTTTGTTGACCAGTGATTAAAAGTTGACTTGAGATTTAGAGTCATAGGAATTATTCAGCGTTTGTTTCCAGGAATGCGAAGCGACCGATTTCAGCGTTATTTCTTCTCTTATGATCAGGTGAAGAAGTACAGGGCCCGGCTAGAGATTGTTTTTATCTATTACGAGAATAAAGTCGGAAAATTAAGAGAATAAAGTTTTATTTTATGCCAAATCTTCCAAGAAGCCCTTTCTTCCGTAAAATGAGGAATGTGGAGCATCGTGTGAAGTTATACTTTAGCATCGGTTTGACAAATCAGGAAATCTTTTAGCAGCAGCATCAAACTGGGCAGGAGGTCAAAGTGGACTCTGGTTGCTGATTGGTGGAGCTGGTCGGCCGTCATCTGCTGGGCGGAGCTCCAAGCTTTCTTTCTGAAACCAGTGGCTGTATCATGACTTTATTCTCCAGGGTTCCAACAGCATAAGGCAAGTTAAATTCAAGACTTTTTAATGCCGCTTGAAATAAAAATTTGAGACCAAATTCACAAGAAAAACCTGCTTGCGACGACTTAACCCAAAGGTTTATTTTAACATAAACCACTGCACTAATGTTTCAAATGTTGAAAAGCTTCCCATACAGGAAGAAAGCTAAAAACACACAAATGACGGATATATTTAAACATTTTTTTTACTGAATTCACAAACTTTGTTTTAGCAGAGAACAAAACAAATCAGTTTTAAAGCCCCAACATAACCAGTGCTAAGTCTTTTTTGCAGCTATTTTTCTTTGTATGGTTTTCTTAGTATGTTTGATTTGGTGATAAGTGGAGGCGTTGCAGAGACAAGGGTGGAACTAAACTGAGAAATACCGGCTGTTTCTCTCTAACTCCATTTTGACGCTTTGTGTTTCGTGCTTCGCATGTGCGACTCCACTGCCTTAATTCCCATCGTTCCCAGCTTGAATCGCTTCTTCTTCTAAACTGAGCCTCATGTATGTTCCCTGGTTTTAGCCATGGAGGAAACTCTTGGCTGGAGACAATTTTGGTTCCATTTACACTTGCTCATATTTTCCAGACAAAAAGTTAATGGTGCATCTCCCAAATGTCCCGGCCGCAACAACGCTGCTTTTATTGGTTCTGCTATCGGGACGGAACCAATAATGGCGAGCCACTATTATTATTATTTTTTTATAAAAAAAAAAAAAACTGTCAATTTTAACGTTTTATTTAGATTACAAAAATAAATCGAAATAAAAATAATTCTATTTATGACGTTTTAAAAATTAAGACCTACGAAAGACTGATTTAAGACATTTTAACACCAATTAAGGCCTTAGTTTTATTTTGAAGAATTCAATGCCTTTTAAGACTTTTTAAGGACCCGCGGGAACCCTGCTCTCGTAATTTTATGATTTAATTCTTAGAATAAAAACATGTCTAGCCTGGCCTAAATACTACATTGTACTTTGCTACTATATGTTTGTTAACCATTTTTTTTTTTCTTTGATTTGTCAATAAAAATTCCTTTTTTAAATGTTGTGTAATTTTTTAATGTAAATTGAGGTACAAAAAAAACATCAGCTTCAAAGATCAGTTAAGATGGATGCCAGAATAATAGGTATCGGTATCGGCCTTAAAATAGGTGCATCAGTTGATCCGTACGGATGGGAGTAAAGTTGAGGAAGAAGCTTTATTTAAGGAATAAATATTCACAGTGTTTCTATTTAGGTGATGCACTTTTTCCTCCAATCGATTTAAGCCGAAACATTTGTTTCTATAACCACTGAATAAGGAGCGTAGATGAACATGCGGACACAGAAAGACTTTAAGGGTCCCAGGTGGTCTTCCTGTCTGCTTCTGGGATGACGGTCCAGTTGGGGGAGGGCGTCCCAGCAGCCAGCCAGTTGAAGTCATCCACCTGGCTCCAGTTGTTCCTGTTTGGGTCCAGGCCAGAGGAAGAGAAGTCCTGATCCAGGGTGGGGTACGACCAGGAGAATGGGGCGAAGCCCACCCCCCGGCAGTCCTCGATGATGGCCCGGCTGGTGACGTGCAGGTACACCTGGGTGTCGCTGGTGTTGTGCGTCCTCAGCTGCTGGCAGGGGAAGGCCAGGACGCTGTTGGTGCAGTGGTCCACGAACACGGAGGTGGCTACGGGGCCGCACAGGACCTCACAGCCGTGGAGGTGCTTCAGGTGAAGCGTGCTGGGAGAACCGTACAGGCGGACCTTGCAGTTGGTCAGATGAGTCAGCAGAACGTCTCGGCTTTGGATCTCCTCTGAAGTCTTTTCTAGGAGCTGGTCGCTGATGTGGGAGAAGTCAGGCTGCTGGGAGGCGGCAGCTGCTCCATCCGCCTCAGTCACAGCAGGAGGAGCAGCAGGAGGAGGAGCAGAGTTCTTCTCAGCAGCTTTGCTCCTCGACCTGAAGTTGAACTTCTTCTTGGGCATGGCCTGCTCCCTGCTCTCGCTCAGTGATGCCTGCAGCTTCTGCAGGGCGCTCTGAGCGACCCGGATCTCATACTGATTCAGAAACATCATGCTGTCGTTCAGGAGCTTCTGCAGCTCCGCCATCTTTGCGGCCGCCTCCTCCAGGTCCCGGGTCACCGCGGTCCGCTCCGCTCCCAAGCAGCCGCTGAGGAGCTGCTCCAGGCCGGCTCGCTCCGCGTTGAAGGCTTCCAGGAAAACCTCGCTCCTCTCCCCGGCCACAGTCTGCTTCTGCCGGGCCTCCTTCCTCCGCTCTGCGCCTTCCGCCAGCAGCTGCTGCCGCTTCACGATCCGCTCATGGATTTTAGAGGCATTTTTATCAGAAAACTCTTCTGCTTTACTTATTTCCTCAGCGGCGTCCATGTTGGTACGTTAATGGAGGAAGTGACGTCACGTTGATAAACAGAGTCCCGGCTATGGCAGGCCGTTTTGACATTTATTAGAAGCGCTGTCCTCTCTTATGGAGGACCAGCTCTACCACAGTTAGAAATAAATACACCAATAAATAAATGCTCAATAAATAAAATAAGCATACAGATAGCTGCTCCCAAAATAAAATTATCAATTAAATGTAGGTAGAAATTTAATTATAAAGTGAGTCATAAATGTATATATTAAGACGGAGTATTAGAGATTTTATTTTCTTCTATTTCAAGAATAAGTCGTAATTTTGAGAGAATAAAGTTGTTATATTAACGACAATAAAGTCATCATAAAGTCGTCAGCTTGGAGCTCCGCCCAGCAGATGATGGCCAACTAGCTCCACCAATCAGCAACCAGAGTGCACTTTGACGTCCTGCCCAGTTTGATTTCTTATTTTTTTCAAACAACTTTATTTGTTTGTGCAAAGAACAATGCAGAGCAACCATATTGCACTATAGAAATTCACAACAACCATTATTTACAGACATTTTCAAGAAGTGTATATTCACATTTTTACCAGTCAAGCAAATGACCTCGTTTTGTGCAAAACAAGAAACAATAAGGAAAAGAAATAAACTAAGATCTTATATTTATTAAACAAAAGTTAACACTGGGGGAAACAGTGCTCTAAATAATATTTAAAAGGACAAAGGTATAACTTTACACAATGCTCCACATTCCTCATTTTAGGGAAGAAAGGGCTTCTTGGAAGAGTTGTCAGAAAATGCAACTTTATTCTCATAAGTTTACGCCTTTATTCTTGTAATATTATGACTTTATTCTCAAAATAGAAGAAAAAAATAATCTCTAGCCCAGCCCTAATACTCTGTCGTAATATATATCTTTTAATTAGCCTATTTATTTATTCTCCTTTGTTATAATTATCTTATTTATTGTCCGTTATAATTTACAAATTTATTTATTAATACTTTTTTTAAGTATCTATTTATGTGCATGTTGTATTTTTTGTCTGTTTTATTCATCCTTTGTAGTTTTTTTTACCTTATTTATTTCTGCCTGTCGTTTTATGCAAATGAGGAGGGTGTGTCTTAGAGGGTCACCTTCTGCCCATTGGTTGCTTAGCATTTTACTGCATCGGTCCAATCTACAGGAAGAGAGGAGAGTCTGAAGAAGTCGGTGGCCGTTTCTTAATTCACTAGAACGCGAGTGCGGACTCGTGTTCTCGCCAAGTATGTTCTCGAGAAGAACCCAGGAAAGTCTGGACTCTGGGAGAACGGGAGCACGCAGGATAAATCTGGGTCAATTGGAACAGAAGCGTACTGATGACATCACCACACGCTCTGCCCGTCTGGAGCTGCATTTCACTTCCTGTTGTTAATAGTCTGTAGATAATAATAAATTATGACTTTTTTCATTTAGTGGAGGAATAATAATGAACAGTCTGATAAACACAAATCAAATGAACATTTTGCAAAAAAAACCCAAAAACATTTGACTTGGAAAAAAATGCATTTGAGACGTCTGGAATATAAATTCAGTCAAGCTAATAAATGTCAAAACAGCTTGCCATAGTTCCTTCTTCTTTAAGGATTTTGGCACTTGGCACACAATAAATTGATGCGTTTCCGCCATCTACTGGTATGGAGTGTGGACCAGAATGACTCAGAAATTTTATTCTTTTACCTAAATGTGTTATTTTTAAATATCGAAATATTATCCTGTAAATGTTACCTCCTGAAAAATGTATAAATAATTCAAATAAACTAGTTTAACTTTTACTTTATTTAAATTTTGAATTAATTGCTGTCTCTCTTCCTCATATTTATTACATTTATTGCATCACATGTTCAATTGTTTCATCTTCCTCACAGTTTTCACCTTTACCATCCTGATGTTACCCTATTATCATTGATGACGTGTGAGTTTATTACACCTCAATGTTAGCTGCCCGTTGCATGTCAGAACTGATGTTTTCCACAATAGTTTATCTAATTAGGAAAGTTCCTGTCGTCTTTTCTCATGGTTATTTAATACATATAGGTTATTAAATGTTATTTAAAGAGTTTGTCGCAAGTGATCTCTTTTCAGGGAAAAGAAGCGGAGAGATAGAGCTTTCAAGGTGTAAACACAGAGAGCTTATCTTTAACAGATCAACACCTGAGCTATCTCTATAGTTCTGCTGCTATAGGCTTAGACTGCTGGAGGACATAGGGACCCCTTTTTCATCATTCTGCTTCATTCTATCTCTATTTTCTCACTCTGCAGAATCTGTTAGTTCAATCTCTATGTTCTGCTCTCTCTGCTTTTTCTCATAGTAGCTTCATCTGGTCTGTTCCTGTTTGGCTGTGACTCCATCCTGGAGAGAAATATCAGCTGTGCTGCTGCCATCAACACCTTTGTTTCTAGATGTTGGAGCTTGGCCTGTTTTCCAGTGTAGACCTGTTTCTCTGACTGTGACTAACTGGATGTGCTCTCTTCATCCTCTGACATGGGAGCTGGCTCGGAGCTCGTCTGCCTGGCTGTGTGTTTCCTGGACGGGGCCGCCTGTGGAGCTGGTTGACAGTTGCCTTTTGTATCTATGCTTCTTTTTCTATGTCTGCTTCTGTCTCCTTGAACCCCAGTGGGCCTCAGCAGATGGCCGCTCACACTGAGCCTGGTTCTGCTGGAGGTTTCTTCCCGTTCAAAGGGAGTTTTTCCTCTCCACTGTAGCTACAAGCATGCTTAGTGTGAGGGATTGCTGAAGAGTCAATGAGTCGATGCAATCAGCTGGTTTTGAGTGTCCTTTCTAGAGTCTGTCTGTCTGAGTTCCACGTTTTTATGGAATGCAAAAGACTAAAGACCATTTTTTGCCGTTTAATATGTGCTTTTAGGGTTTTTGGAACGGTTTTTACAAACGCTCTTTTTAAAGGTGTTTACCAGAATAGAAGAAATAAATAAAAGGGCGACTTTTAAATGTTTTAATGAGTGAAGCAAAGATGGCCGTTTATCGTCCCTCAGAGACAGACTGCAGGAGGGAGCTCAGCTTGATGCCGCGGCTCAGAATCAGGCTGGAGTTTCACTTCCACAGAGACACACAGAACATGGAGGATTTTATTCAGCTGTGGGGTTTTAACAATATTTCATATCCTGGGTCAGATGATGGAGAACTACAGTTTAACAAGCTCCTCATTTAATGATTTTAGCTGACACTTGTTTTTAACTCAATAGTGATAGAATTGTTTTTTTTATTTTTATGTATTTCTTTTTTTAATGCTTTTATTTTTTGTAGTACTTGGGAGGACTTTTTGATGAAAAGTGCAGTATAAATCAAATGTATTATTATTATTCGTATTATGTTTTGAATTAATAAATAAAGTGTTGTTAAAGGTCAAAAGGCTTCTTCTTCTTGAACATTATTGGCGGTTGGCAAAAATTTTAGGTGAGCATCACCAACACCAACTGGTAAGGAGTGTGGAGCACATGACATCCATCCATTATCTGACATGCTTAATCTCAAGCGGGGTCATGAGGGGTGCTGGTGTCCATCTCCAGCTGTCTACGGGTGAGAGGCGGGGTCCACCATGGACAGGTCTCCAGTCTATCGCAGGTCTTTCATGCACACACTAAGGATAATTTAGAGAAGCCGGTTAACCTAACAGTCATGTTTTTGCATTGTGGGAGGAAGCCGGAGTATCCGGAGAGAACCCACACATGCTCAGGGAGAACATGCAAGAAGATCCCGGGACAGGAAACAAACCCAGAACCTTCTTGCTGCAAGGCAGCAGTTCTACCCACTGCGCAGCTTACTCTGCTTCAAAAACTCCAATATGGCCTGATATTCTCTGCTTCCTGATTCTTTTTGCAGTAAAACAATCAAATTTCCTTTTCATGTCACTGAGTTTCTTAATTAACTTGTTTCTCTGAATCCAATATTTTCTAATACCTAAAATAACATGTTCCACCGCCTCATCTTCCCCACAGTCACATTTCCTGCCTGATGTTTCTCTATTAAACATAATGATCTATTCTATCCTGTGAGTCTGATTCTATTTCATAAAATAATTCTCTCTTCTCTCCTTTCTTTCTGTTCTTCTCATTTGTCTCTTTTGGATTTTATAAAACCACCTTCCTTTCTTTTCTTCTTCCTATAACTTTTGCCACCTCTCTTTTGTTTTTTGTTTAATTATACATTTACTTCTGTTATACTAACATTAATATCTATCCTCGCCTTATTGGTTCTCTCCTTAGACTCCATGTCTGCCATTTTATTCCCCTTAATCTCGTTATAATAAACTTACTAATAGTCCCATTATATTTATTCTGTAAAGTGTTTGTTTTGTTTCAATTAATATATCTGCTTATACTGTCTGACTGATTATTTTGCAAACTGACTAATGACAAACACCGCCACCTGCTGGTTTGGATGTTTAATAACAGATAGAAAACCAGGTAGATAATTTCATTTTGTTAATTCAGTTCAAAAAGTGAGAAATTAAATTAAATTAGACACAAAATAAATATTTAAAGTGTTTCTTTTGATTAGTAAAGCTTAAAGCTGACTAGAATCCAAGATTCAGGATTTTAAGATACATATTTGATGTTATGATAAAGACTGTTTGCTTGCTTCCTTATCCTCCACCAGCGGGCTGAGTCACAAAATGTTTTGTTTTAAAGAAAATGGCTGCTCACCCAGAGCGTATCAGAGAATGTTAATGGAAAGTTGAGAGAAAGGAAAAAGTGTTTATCAGCTGCCTTATAGTGTGGAGTGGAGGCTGCAGCGCCTCAGACTGGAAGAAGGTGAGAAGAGCAGAGAGGATCATCGGCATGGGCGGTTCTAGACAGGGGCCAACGGGGGCCAGTGCCCCTGTAGATCATGTTCTGGCCCCTGTACCGAAGACATAATGCTAAAAGAAATTCTAAAAGGTGATTCTATAGCTCCTCTGGATCTATTTCATTTTTTTCTTTAAAAAAAAATCGGTTTTACTAATTACTTAAAAACAATAAGGTGATAGCTTCAGTAATTGAGATAGGTATCAGTTTTCATTTGCTAAATGTTTTTTTTTTTCAAAACATAACAAAAAAAAGGGTCTAATTTTTACAGTTTTTTAATTATTAATTTATATATTAATTTATAAAAAAAAAAACTGCATTTTACAGTTTTCCTTAGATAAAAAATCTGACTGGGTGATCTGGTGAACTTTAAAGTGCCTTGAGATTATATATGTTGTGAATTGGCGCTATAGAAATAAACTGAACTAAATTTTTCATATGAGATGTACATTTTTTTTAGCCCCCATAAAATCCCCACAGTAAAGCACAGTGGTGGCAGCATCAGGCTGTGGCAAAGCTGTTTTATAACAGGGACAAGGAAGCTGGTCAGAGTGGATGGGAAGGTTAATATCCAGCAATCTTGGAAAGTTTCCTTTTTAAGAGGAGTGGAAGCTCAACTTCTAACCGGGAAACACCTTATACCGTATTACTATGCCATCAAAAATACTGACGTTGTTTTAATAAACTGTCAGCGTTCAGCTGCTGTGAATACTTTTACCTCTCACTGTATATGCAGCAGGGGCGGATTTAGGAAATGTGGGGCCCTAGGCAAAGACATGAAACAGCCCCATTCTCCAGATAGAGAAATGTTAATAGAATAGACATCCATTATCTGTTCTAGGTTGTGTCCCTCTCTTCTTGTCCCTTTTCTTCTTGTTTTCCTCTCTATGTTTTGTACTCAGCTGACTTTTCATGCTGTGTCTAAAGGAATGAAAGATTTTTTTTCCAAGCACTAAGCTGCCTCCTGCTCTCCTCTATCTTGTCTGCTGTCATGATTCATGCAGCTATTATTTCATCCAAATGAAAAATGGAGAACAGATAAGCAGATCATGGCTTGTCTACAGTGAAAAGAAGGACTGGGTTATTTACTTTGGCCTTTTTGGAAACACAGGAAGGAGCAATCAGCTAAGTGAGCTTAGTGCTTGGAAAAAATCTTTCATTCCTTTAGAGACAGCTGAACACATTGCCAATATGAAAAGAAAAGGGAACAAAAGACATAGATAAAAACAACAACAAGAAAAGGGTTGGGCAGAGAGGGACAAAACGGAGACAATGGATGTCTATTCTCTATCTGTAGAATGGGTCTGTTTTATGTTTTGTCTTTTCAATTCAGAGGGCCCCCTGCCTGTCTTTCTCTAGGGCCCCAAATTTCCTAAATCCGCCCCTGATTAGCCAAGATAGAGGAGAGCAGGAGGCGGGGTTATTAATCTACTTGCTATGGAGAGCAGAGTTCGCTGCTTTTATATAGAAAAAAATCTCTAGATTTGGCGCTAGGAGCTTTTTAGAAATCAAAGTGCTAGAGGGGTCTGAAAAGTGGCTAAATATAGCGACTAAAGCGCTAAGTTGGCAACACTGCTCTTTGCATGGTTTGTTTTCAAATGGTTTGCTGCTGTCTGTTTGGACCTTTCTGAACATGTGCAGCAAATGGACTGATCCAATATGGCGGACACTGAAGGGGGTGAAAATACTTTAATTTTAGTGAAAGTATTTTTTATCAAAAACATAATTAATGTTCACAAATAAGGAATAAGTGTATTAAACATACATGGAAACAGAGTTTTATGGGCCCCCCAGGAAGTTGGGGCCCTAGGCAGCTGCCTAGTATTGCCTAATGGGAAATCCCCCCCTGATATCCACTTTAACAGGTTCAGGAACTTTAAATTGATACTCTTACGTATTAAATTGAACTTAAGCTTTAAATCTTGTTTTGCTAAAATCACATGTTTATACCTGGGAAAAGGTGTGGTAAACACAGGACCGCCCCCTACAGTCGGTCATGATAAAGTCTAATTGCACATGTCTTGTTTTCACAGGAGTGAGATAATAAATAATGTTAAATGAATCCAGATGTGACATTAAACTCCATGAATAAATGATGAGCGCTGGAGCATTTTCCCATAGAAACATGCGGGGTGTCGCTGGGCTCCGCTGAGCGCACTACCCCGCCGACCCGTGCGGTGATGGCGAGGAAACCCCGTTGACAAGACACTGCTTTTTCATGACGGTGAGTTCCCCTTTGAGTGTATTATAATTTTGTGATAAAAATTTCAAGGAAAAAACACACACAGGCTCCTTCCTCCCTTCCTTCAGGGAGGGAAGAGAGTTTGAGCGGAGAGAAAAATCTATCCGAGACAGAAGAGGGACAGAGAGTAAAATATATGAGTGGGAGAGGGAGAAGGAGGAGGAGGAGAAGGAGGAGGGGGGGCAAATTAAAAGTTGCCAAATGGAGATATTGGGTTTCAAGAGGAGTGAGACAGGAGTCAAGGGTTTGCCTCTTTTCAGTCCTCTGTATGTTATGCTAATCGGGATAAATATTTATGGCGCGAGGCGGTTTAGCCTTTCCAGAGGATTCCAGCCGATCAGTTCAAAAACACGACGACGTTACGGCTAGCTAACCGCGCGACAGGCCGAGGCTGGAGCGACCCGCCCGGGGCTCAGCCTGCCTCCAAATGGGACCGGCTCGGGGTTTTTTCCCGGGTTAGTAGGTGAGCTTCAGAGGAGGAATGGAGGCTCCCCTCCTTCCAGGAGCAGAAATGCGTCAAACGGTCGTTTAATTCGGATTCATGGCGGTTCTTCCTCCGGCTGGGCTTCATTTTCAGGGGAATGAAAGCAGCTAGAGGGGGATTACCTCCATGCTTTTATTTCAGTCCACTGGGAATTTAACTACGCGTCGAAAATAACAATAGTAAACTACTGGATTTGAATGAAGAGGATTTAATTCATTTTCGCGTTGAAAGTAGTTTTTAAAATGTGTCTTTTTATGGCGCTAGCTTAAAACATTGAAGTCGGTATGTTTATTTTTCAATCTGACATTTTTTTTGTGGGGGGCTTAATAGCTGTCCATCTGCTGAATTAATGTTTAATTTATAAACGTTGTTAGCAGGACAATGGAGGGAAGAATCGTCGCGTTTTCAAAACCAAACAGTCAAAAATGTGTGAAGTTTGGATCCTCTTCTTTAGTCGCAGCTTAGCAGGTTGTTTTTTTTTTTTTGGGGGGGGGGGGTTTCTATGTTTTTGGTCCAGTTTTCCTCTCTTGTTTTTGTTCAGCCTGAATCCAAGATGGAGGCTGATCATGGCTCAGCTACAAAGACAGCCTCGTGGCGTGGCTCAGCCATTTTGTTTTCATGCATCCCCACACCATCCAAACCACTCAAAAAATAAAAATTTCCGACGTCTTTCTTCACAGTTTAACACAGAGACCGTTTTCCTGACATTATTTAACAAAATCCACCCAGACTTGCCCAAATGCCCACTTTAAAGCAGTGAAAAATAAAGCTAAATAGATCAGCAGTTTGTAACCAAAAGTCAATACTTAACACTAAGCACAAGCAGGACAGCAGAGAAGCACAACAGGAGGGAGTTTGTGTCAGAAAAGCATTTGTAGGAGTGGTGACAAGCCTTCTTGTTCTTCATTTGTGTACTGAATAACAAACATCCACTCCCTGAACACCCTCTACACGGCTACACTACTCACCATTTGCAATAACCTTGGCCAGTGACGTTGAAAATGTACTAAAAACAGTTTTTTCACCCTGCAGCCCAGCCTGTTACAAGAGAATAAGGCTGTTACATGACTGAATCCATGCTTCCTGGTGGACATCTGTGAGTTAAATGCCCCTACTGTCATCATTAAAATACACAGGAAGTCATCAGAAAAAAGTTGTGATGTTTACTTTCAAATATTTATTGGAGTTCCTGCAGCTATATCGCTGTTTCAAACTGGTTCAGAGGGACACATGCAGGTTCGGTGTAGACATAGATTAGCCAGATTATGGCTAATATTTAACACAAGAGCAGAGGTGTCACGTAACGAAGTACAAATACTTCATTACTGTACATAAGTACCCTTTTTAGGTATCTATACTTTACTCCATTACTTATTTTTCTTCCCACTTCTGACTTCTACTCATTACATTTTCACACAAGTATCTGTACTTTCTGTTCCTTACATTTTTAAAACAAACGTTACTCGTTACTCTTGGCTTCGGTTTAATATTTATTTCCCGTCATGTGCTCCATCTAGTGAAAACTAGTGTGATTGGATGAGTCATAGAACGCAAACACTCATTGGTTAGCTAAAGGAAATCATCAGAAGCAAGCAGGTGTTCTTCAAACTGCTAAGGTGAATTGTCTATGCCATGCTACAATGTGGGATTCAGAAAAAGATGTTGAAAGGTCGGACACAGGCGAGAGCGTATCGGGAGATGGAGACCAACAAGAACTCCCTCATCCTTGGCCCTATCTCACAGAATTTTTCTTCCAAATAGTTGTAAAATTGAGCTTTCAGTTCATATAGTGGCATCTGGACGTTTTTTAAAGGTTACTGTATACTTTTATACTTTAAGTAGTTTTTGGAGCACATACTTTTTCACTTTTACTTGAGTAAAGAGGTCAAGTTGATACTTCAACTTTTACCAGAGTGTTTTTAAACTGCAGTATCTATACTTCTACTGAAGTAACAGATGTGTGAACTTTAAACACCACTGCACAACAGTCAAGATTTAAGAAAAGGAGTCATATCAAGCCATCACAACTAGGGATGCATGATATAATCGGTCTTCTATCGGTATCGGCCTGTATCGGCCTTAAAACTGAATATCGGACATCGGCCACCCCAACGATATTTAACCCGATATTTGATCAGCTTCTGAGTTTCTAAAGTCTAAAAAAAAAAAAAATACTACTTCTTCCTCAAAAACTTCTTTTTTACAGACTTAAAAACTTTTAAAGACGAGGGAAAAAATATTGATACATTAAAATATCCCAATATCTTCATATGCTGATATATTGCCATTTAAAAACACCGTATCAATCTCGTTTACTAATGAAATATTGCTATATGTCATCGTTATGCTACGAAATCCCCCGAAAATTCACGAAATTTTGCCATATTTTTATATGTTGATATATTGACGCGGTATCGATCTATTTTACTAACAAAATCTCACAAGAATTTGCAAAATATCACGAGAGTTTGTAAGAGAACAATGAAATTTCACGAGATTTTGAAAGTAAAATAGATCGATACCGCGTTTTTAAAAATCTATTTGATATCAGCATATGAAAATATATTTGAGTATATTATTTTTCAAAGTGTCAGAAATGGATAACAAAACTGCTATTTTCAATGACTACTTATTTTTGTCCAGCTTTAACATCGATATCGGTTATCGGCTACATGAGTTTTTAAATTTCGGATATCGGCCAAAATCCCAATATCGTGCATCCCTAATTACAACATGATAATCAGTTCTAGCAATTACTTAAATATAAGCCCTCAAACTTGGAAACAAAGTCCAGTGGATTTTTTTGTAACTTTTATTGGATGACTATGACCTGGATGACCTGAATCTTCGCCAGCATACATATAGTGAAAATAAACCCCAGATATGTTCTGGAAGCAGTAACCTGACTCCGCCAGATGGATTTGCTCCGCGTATCCATCTGGAAACCTTCCGTTGAAGTAATTTTGGGAAGGGGCGAAAATACTGGTTAGCTGATTGGCCTATGTTGGTGATAGACGGGCCAAATAAACCAATCAGATCAACGAAGCATATGACGTACTAACAGAGCGACGACGAAAACACAACCACAAGCCAGGCTACTCTTGCCGAAACCAGTCGGGAGAAGAGCAAAAACATCTTTTCCTCTGAGAAAAGCCTCCAGAGCAGTGTTTTGCTCTTCTTTCAGTGAAGAAATACTCTGTAATTCCGATAAAACTTGCTCGATAGCCACGCTAACGCTAGTTTCATCGGCTGAAGCCGCCATGTTCTTTAGACCGAACTGTCGCGCTTCTCGTTGCGTCACACCTCAACCCGCCTCAAAGCCAACGCTGATTGGGCGTTCGTTTGGTGAACGGCTCCAAATTTTCTTGAAACTGAGAATCTCCAGACTGATTAGCGAGTGAAATCTTGAAAGCTTGCGAGATCAGGATGGTCTCACGAGGCTAGGGAAGCAGGTCCAAACTGTTAGAATCGTATGATAGGAAATTGGTTTGCATCTAAAATCAGCATAAAGTTTACAGCTTAAACCAGACCAACCTTAGAAGAATGTTCCCACTGTAAAGTACGGTGGGGATGGCATTATGCTGTGGCAGAACTGGTCGCTTTAATAATAGCTGATGGAAAGGTGAAGAAGCAGGAGGGGCCTCCGAACTTCGTCAGTGTTTCTGTGATACAGTTTGGAACAAAATGGAGCTGATTTAGGAACATTTAAGTTCCTGGTATGATGTCATAAAACCTTCAGCATCAGCCAGGTTATAGCGAAACATGTTTGAAATTAAAGCTTTATGATAAGCAGCGCTTAGCTAAGGTGAAACATCTCAGATCTAATTCTGTACAATGTGTTAATGGATGCTGCAACATATTTCTGTCTTCAGCTGCTGTTACTCCATCCGTTTCAGGTGTCATGGATGATGAAGACGATCGCCGTCTTCTGGATATTTTAGGGTAAACAAAACCCGGCCTGAAGCAAACGGCCTTTTCACACATTTTCTGTTTGTTAGAGGAAAGTTCAAACATATCCAGGCCAAGCTAGCTGCTAGCCTTTAGCCCTCACCATCATTTTAGTGTGTTAAACACCAATGGGAAAACAATGCATGAACTTCCAAGTCACTCTTCTTTACCCTTTTTAGAGACGTGGAAGCGTTGAACGATTATCTCCATGGCAACAATAGCAAGTCTGTGAGTGGCTCTTCCTGAATGTTAAATGGTTGTAGATGTGTGGACTGGAGAAATGACTGACTCTGGTGGGTTTACCGTTCCGTTTCTTCAATAGATCGGAGAAGACGACGTAGCAAATGCAGCTTATGGGTCAGATGGATCGTTTTTCTCCAATGAGACAGTAAGTATGTAATGTTTCCTTCAACTAAAATACAGACGTGTTTCTGGAGGTCAGAGGCTGTGAGGGATGAAAAAGTGGACTTTTGTGGCCATAATATTAGATTTAAACAAAATTATCAGCGAATTCCTAATTTTGAATGTAAAGGAGTTAAATTTGGTATCGAAAATGGGGAATTTTTATGTAACATTTTCATTATTGCAAAATTCTTTATTCACAGGTGCAGTTCTTTAAAATCAAATCATTGGAAAATCATTCTGGCTTAAACATGTATATAAATGTTCTCTTTATCAGACCATTTTGTCCCAAAATTTAGAAATTTTCTATAAAAAAAAAAAAAAAACCCTGTCCTAAAATCAGTTTTTTCCGTTATCTTCTGCAGGCCAGTTAGTTCTACGTCAGCCTGAACACCTAAATTCAGCCAATCATATATCAAAGGTTATCTGTCAATCAGATTATTTCGGTCATAGCATCTTGATTCATATGTCGCAGCTAATATACGCAGCGGTTGAAACCAGAATCCTTTCCTTTCCCATTGAGTTGCGTCCCAGTGTTCACGGGGATGGACGTCTGTGTCTTCGGCAGGCGTAGAGCTAACAGAACTGGCAGCGTTGCGAGGCAAGGGCTCAAACATGTACGGCTGGAAGCCTTCTACACCAAACCAAGCTTCTGCCGCCCTGGCGTCCTCTTCCACAACATCTTCGTCCCCGCTTTCCTCCTCTAAATAAAAAATGGATGACGGAGGAGACTCATCCACGACCTCCGACACTAAACTCTCCTCCTCTTGCATGTTTCCGCTGTCCATAGCGTTCCTTGATAGCGTCGTTTCTAAGGCTACATCCTATTTTTTTGGACCATATGCAACCGTGCATGGGAATTCCTGTCATTGTGGCCGGCTGTCGCTACCCAATAGCGGCAACTAATAACAAAGATGGCGCAGGCAGAGGAGCAGGAGTTACGTGACCAACGGGAGCAAAAAGTAGTGATCATCCGTCCGAATTGTCAGTTAACTGAGTCCACTATATAGTCCCCGCTAGAGCGTGATTTAGGGCTCAGGGCGGACATTCGGACACAGTAAGCTTGGATGAGCTATGAGAACAGCAGCAGAGGAGAAATGGACTCGTGCACGCTCTCACACATGTTTAATAGGTGTTGCCTCTCAGGAACAGGTACCGTGTTCTGAATGTGCTTTTTTTTTTAAGTGGAGAGGGCAGGTCTTTTTTTAAAAATCAGAAAATCCTCCACAATACCTTTTAACAGTAATTAAAACACAAGACTTGGTGTAAATGTATGGAAATAAATCGCATGATGAAAACGGTAAGACAATACAGTCGGTTTGAAATACAGTTCCTAAAGGACTTGGACTAGATGAAAAAAATCTGAGAGCAATATAATAAGTGCAACTTATTGAATAAATAGATTAAAATTTGAATAAAATAAGCCAAAGGAGTTAAAATGAGGAGGTCAAAAAATGTTAGATTTTAATCTGAAGATGAGTTTTCAGTAACGGCGTCATTTCTTGGTGTCCTTCAGACCGGCTGCAACTCCGGCCTCAAAGATGGCTCCTCTGGAATGGCAGAGTTTGAGGAGGACCCGGCCGGGGCCGGCCTGCACCTCTCCAGTAGCCTCTCCTTCATGGACGATGACCTGGAGGCGGGGGACTCCCCTGATGGGGCGGACCTTGAAGGAGAGGATCAGCCCTTCGACATCCTGCAGAAGTCCCTGCTGGAGGCAGACATCACGGAGCAGACTTTGGCCCAGGAGGCCTTGCTGGACTCCCAGCCTGCTCCAAACCTGGTGCAGGCTCCAGTGTCCCTCCCCTCCCAGCTGGTTTCTGGGGGTTATGGAGGCGGAGTGGTAACCACTGCGGCGGCCGCCTTCCCAGCAGGTCAGGTATTGCAAGGAGTGTCCCCCCTGGCCAACGGTTCTACTCAGCATATCCAGGTGTTGGGCTCGTTCGGCGGCGGCGGCGGAGTGATGACTCTTAGTGGCCTGGAAAGAACTCCTCAGATCGTTCTAAGGCCGGGGCTGCCCGTCGCTCCGGCGGGGAGCGCGGCAGCTGGCCAGGTCTTTGCCCCAACCCAAGGCCAGGTGAGCTTACCCTTCAAAAACATCCCCCTCCAAAACATCATCATTCAGCGCGGCCCTGGAGGGACGCAGGCCATCGTTAGACCAATCCAGCCCAAACCTCCTCCAGCCGGGTCGCAGACCGTCTTCAGCCTGGGGCTGCAGCCCCCAGCCTCCACCCTGGCTAACGTTCTCAACGCTAACGCCGTAGGACAGTACACAGCCAACGGTTCAATCGTGGTGCAGCCATCAGGGGATCAGCAACAAGTACCCGCCCAGACCAGCATCACGCCGGGACAGTTCTTACTACCAAACTCTTTGACGCTTACGCCTTCCAGCTCCGTCCAAAACGGCTCCGCCATCTGCAATTCCAGTAGCCTAATCACCACCCAAAACACAATGCAGCTCGCACCAGGGCAGAGCTTCTCGGCGCCACCCGGAGGCCAGCTGATCCTGAACCAGGGGGTAGTGAGTGGGAGCGTAACGCAGACGTGGACGAGCGTTTCCTCCGCTCCGGTGCAGACGGCCTGCGCTCCTGGGCGGCTGACCCTGGTCGGCTCAGCGACCATTGGGATTGGAGGTCAAGGCCAGGCGTCCTCCTGTCCGGTGCAGCGCCTTCTAGTGACTCAAACGCAGAACTGCACTTCTCTCTCTCCTTTGCCCAGCAACATGGTGGCGGATCAGAAGGATTTCCGACAGGTACAGTCCTCAGAATCGGCTCTCGCTGCTTTGGTTTTCCCACCCGTTAACCGCTGTTTCCTCTGCAGAGTTCCTTATCGCCGGCGTTTAACCAGGCGCAGCCCAGCAGCATCCATGGTAACCACGACTAACTCCGCCCTCTGATGCCTTTTCATACATTCCAGTTTTCTCTGCCAATATTTGATCTCATCACTTTACTTTTCAACCTTTAGCTCTGAAAACCATTACACACGATCCGACGCTAATTTCTGAGGTACGTTCGATGGGTTATTTGGTGGAATGACGCGACGGCCGCTGAAATATAACAGCTTCTGTTTTGTTTTTGCAGAAGAGGGTCGCCGGTCCAGCGCTTACAAGAACCGAGCAGTGAGATCTGTCTTGGTAATCTGATTTCGTTACGATTGGAGGGAGGGAGGGCTGCTTTGTTAAAGCGTTGTCTGTGTTTTTCCTACTGAATGTTGAAGGATTCTTCACCGCCTGAAGAGGGACCACGCTGGCGTTCAGATCCCGAATCGGCGAAAGTTCTCGTCGATTAAAGACGCGCTGGAAAGGCTGCTTTCTTACCACGTGTTCCAGGGCGCACCGCCGTGCCAGGACGAGTTCTCACAAGGTACGGCTTTAAAAACACAGAGCTTAACTTCGGTCGGCCAAGAGCGCAGTTCTAAACCGCAATTTTGACAATTCGCAGTGGACCAGGAGTTTGAGGACGTTGCGTCTCAGGTGGTGACGAAGACCCAGACCATGATTAACAAATACAGACGGCTGCTGATGGTGGAGGCTGAAGTAAGTGATGGCGCTGAAGCTTATGGCCAAGAGTTCAAGGTGGTGATCTGATCCTTTCGCCTCTGAATGATTATTAGATTCTCTGTTTCCAACAGGAACCTTTGAAATCATTGTTCACCAAACAGATCAGATTAGTCTGAACATTGTTTTCTTACTCCGACTTTTCTTAAATATTTTTTTCCATCTGCAGCGTTCGAGTCCTTCTTCAGAAATGGTGATGATTGACAGGACCTTCAACCAGGAGGAGCGCAGCAACCTGACACAGGACAAACGCACGGTGCTGGTGGATCCAGGTAGACTCCTGAAAATCATGGTCTCTGAAGCATTTTCCTGAAGTTCGAACAAACCTTTTCCTCCAGGAATATAGTTGGTGGCGTGCAGGTGGCGCAGTGGTTAGTGCGCATGACCCATGGATGGAGGCTTTAGTCATCGACACGGGCGACCCGGATTCAAATCCGGCCTGTGGTTCTTCCCTGCATGTCTCTCCCCCTTTCCTGTCAGCCTACTGTCCATAAAAACGAGCCGCTAGTGCCGTTTAAAGGTCGGCCGTCGGGAGGTGGTCGTTAAGAGGCTGATCGCACCTCGTTCCCCACTTTACATGACGCAGGATGCAAAATTCAGGTTAAATGGCAAAAAACTGCACAGTCTACGCCTGGCTTAACGACCTCCTCCCGATCAGGAATCTTAACGTCCGGAGAAAATCAAATGTCTGAAATCCAGTCGGCGGTCGTGAGGTGTTCATGGTTAAATCCTGCTGTTGGAGCAGAAGTACGATCCGATTTACCGATTTAACTGAACATGTGCAAACAAGGGAGTTTTACTTCTTCTTCTTCCAGGTTAACAAGTCCGAGTAGCGCTATCTCACTGCGGAGCTGAGTCTGACGAGCAGTAGATCGCAACAGAGCGTCGGGTCGCACATTGTGGGATCAAACATCATGAGCTGCGAACTTTTAAACCCTGCGGTTTCATTGTACAGTTTGAGCTGTAGCTGCGTGCAACGATTGGAAAAATCGCACCGTGTGTTCCCGGCTCAAATTAGTTGACTATTATTTTAATAATCGATTAATCCGTTTAATCGTTTGATTTTGTCTGAAATCTGTGTTTCCTCGTCAGACTAGCCGTTAGCTTTAGCCAGGATCCATTGAATTTGGGTTTCTAACCTTTTTACCAGATTGTTCATCTAACTCGTAGCCTCGTGAGACCATCCTGATCTCGCGAGCTTTCAAAGTTTCACTCGCTAATCAGTCTGGAGACTCTCCGTTAAAGAAAATTTGGAGCCGTTCACCAAACGAACGTCCAATCAGCGTTGGCTTTGAGGCGGGTTGAGGTGTGACGCAACGAGAAGCGCGACAGTTCAGTCTAAAGAACATGGCGGCTTCAGCCGATGAAACTAGCGTTAGCGTGGCTATCGAGCAAGTTTTATGGGAATTACAGAGTATTTCTTCACTGAAAGAAGAGCAAAACACTGCTCTGGAGGCTTTTCTCAGAGGAAAAGATGTTTTTGCTCTTCTCCCGACTGGTTTCGGCAAGAGTAGCCTGGCTTGTGGTTGTGTTTTCCTCGTCGCTCTGTTAGTACGTCATATGCTTCGTTGATCTGATTGGTTTATTTGGCCCGTCTATCACCAACATAGGTCAATCAGCTAACCAGTATTTTCGCCCCTTCCCAAAATTACTTCAACGGAAGGTTTCCAGATGGATATGCGGAGCAAATCCATCTGGAGGAGTCAGGTTATCTAACTGCTGCTTCTCTCTGCTCGGTTCCCAGACGGCTTCCTGGACGAGTTCTGCTGCGGTATGAAGTCCAGAGTTTCCCAGGACCCCGTCTCTTCGGAATCGGAGAACAGCTGGGACCAATCAGAACCGGGCTCTGTGGAGCCGCCGCACAGGACAGACTTTCAGCCCGGGTTTGAAGACCCGGGAGGGGGCGGGGTCACGGGACCGACAGACAGACTTCACCCGCCGCACTTAGAAATCCCGAAGGTTGCGGAACCGAAAAGGCCGCAGCAGAACCCCGACAGCTACGGCCAAGGTAAACACTCTGCAGGGGGGCAGCCCCCCCACCTCTCCCCCCGCCTCACCTCCCCCCCTCACCCAGACGCCGATTCTGCGCTTGAGGCAGCAGTCAACAGCATCCTGGAATGTTAAGACAGATTCTCCGCTTCATCCCTAAAGTCTGTGATTTGATTCTCTCTCTAGGTACCAATGCATCTTTTTTATTTTAATTTTTATTTGTTGTTCTCCAGTGTGGAGAAAGGTTTACTTTAGCGATACGCAGCCATGTAGCATTTGTGTCGTTTGTGTTTGAAGATTTCTGAAGGCATTAGGTCCAAGAAGCGTCGCAGGTGAAGCCGGGCGCTTCCGAAGATCCGGGAAAGTGTGCAATGCAGCAGCTCGACAGAACCTTAAACAGTTTGTGCCATTTCCTCTTCCCCTCAAACACACCATGACGACGACGATGAGTGCCTGACTCTAGGTTTTAACGCGTTTACAGACGCTCCAGACCAGAGAAAATGCAACGAAGAACCGTATTTTCAGAGTTTACGTCCACGTGATGTCATCCAGCGCTCAGCTGCTGCTCAGTAAATTAGAAAAAGTTGATTTGTTTCAGTAATTATGCTCCTAAAATGATACATTTCAAGTCTTGACTGGTTTACATTAAGGTTTACAGCCTGAAAAGCTGTATGCTGCTAATATATTAGAGATTTACACTAGACCCCCCCCTCCTCAGAAAGACTCTTGGATCTTTATCTGGAAACAAAATCTAGAGCATTTTTTCCTTCCACTAAACTTTCCATTAACTTTCATTGGGAGCTCCTGACAGCCGCCTGGTTTAGGAATTCCTTTTCTTTCCAGGGATTCATTGGTCTCCTAAAAAAGTCCTGAGAAACGGAATGATCTGTGTGCCAGGATCATGAAAACAAGCAGGAGAAACACACTTTCTGTTTAAATAATCTATTTAAATTTTGTGTTTTGAGCTTCTTTACTGAAATAAACAGGTTTTTCCAGATAGCGGCTGGAAGATGAACCTCAGAGCTCCATCAAACCAAACTTTCCCCCCCGGCCTTACTGAACTCAGACATCTTTTAATACCTTAAAGGTTTACAAATCCTAAAACAATCCGTACAAAACTTTCAATTCTGAAGCCTTTTTTTTTTTAAACATTTCAACCTTAATTTTGGTGAAAATCCTTCCTCGGTTTTTGGCGGATTTTCTTTACCTTACAGGAGGACAGGTTTCGACATTTCATCGGGTGTTAAATGGTTTCATTCCGGATCATATGTGTTCGTGTTTTAATTCTCTCCACCAGCATGTTGGCGTGCGTTTTACCGCACCGAGGTTACGGCCGTTTTCGCCGCGGAGGAGCGCTTCGTCCTCCGGTTTTTCCCTCTGAGCAGCAGAACCAAAATCAAACGGTTTTTGTTCGGCTTTGGGGTCGGTTCACACGTCATTCCTCTCTACCTCCATTTGGTATAGTTGAAGTTAAACACATTTCATTTATGTTCTTTTGTGGTAAAATATGGAACAAATAAATAAAAAAAGCAATTATTTAAGTGATTCCAATAACTGATCCGATCAAAATAACAATTATATCCAATGATTATTACTCAGAATGTATGAAAAAAAAATCATTTCCTGTAAAGCTCCATTAAATCCTTCCTGTTTTTTAGCCTAATTGGAGCTAAATCATATATTTTATTGATTTTTTTTTTCTCCATAACCTCCAGATGGAGATTTATTTCCTTTTTAACAGCTGCTGCACTCAAAAAAACCAAGAATTGAAGCAAAGGATGTTTGCATTTTCCCCCCCCCTGCAGGATTCTGTGCCTCTGCTTTTTTTTTTCACACGCTGGTGAACCGTTGTGCGCTCTGGATGCACGTCACGCCCTCCGCTGGGAACCCACTGTGCTCCCTTTCCTCCTTTACTCCCTTTTATCGCAGTTTCTTGTTGGTTTTCATCTATTTTGTTATCTCTGTATGTTTTTCTCACTTGATTTGTAAAGTTTTTTGTATAAAAACTATGAAAAGTTAAATGTAAAATATTTATAATTTTGTATGAACATAAAAAAAACTATTGTTTCACAAGAACAAAGAAAAACACACGAGTGAAAGATATTTTTTTTTATTGTGTTGGCTGAGAGGCGCGGTTCTATAGAAAAAGGAGAGGCTGTCGTTCCCTGGTTTGTAGCTAACGTGTGTTTTCACTACAGCAGAGGAGCTCAACAATAAAGTCATTTTGAACACGGCGATAAAAGCAGGTCCGGCCTGACTGAGAAGCCTCTTCTGTTCCCCCCCCTCATTGCTATGCTGGGAGGGTTTTCCACTAATCGCACCGTGTGAGAGGAGGAAGCTGGAGCTGCAGGAAAACAGGTTTAAAACACAGAAAATGTTTTCACTGAGATCAGCCTCTTTAGGTTAAATTCATTTTCAATCAAATCTATTGGACGCATTTAATCTGATCAAGCTTAACCCTTCATAGTGCATTTTGTGAAATACTTTGAAAATCTAAATTTTCAAGCCAATTCCATATGAAATTAGTGAAAACCACTTTTTTTTTGGTACATCACCGTAGAACAGAGGTCTCATTGAATCCTCTGCAGTGGCTCTTAAAATGCATATAAATGGCTAAATAATAAATAGCAATATTAAAGCTTTAGTGTTTTTTTTTATAAGATGGAAAAGAATTAATATTATTAGAAGAACCAGAAATATGTTTTAAGAGCCATTTTTCTTTGAATTAGCATGGAAATTATGTGTTTTAATATTATTTTAAAAGCTAAAAATGCATAAATTTCCTTTATCAGCTAATAAAAAAAAATATATATATTTTTTTTAAAAAGTTATATTTTGGGCCTCTAAATAACTTTTATTGGTCGTACTCGAAGTAAAATGGCTCTTTGGATATAAAAGGTTGCAGACCGCTGTCTTAGAGGCATTAATGCTGATGCTGGAACTGATATTTTTTAGTTTATAAACCTAAATATAATCGTTAACTAGACTTATTAACTTTTGAACTTTGCTTTTTAACTTTTCAACTAACTTGTCCTATAAAGGGGTTAGAAAAAACATTTTTTTGTTAACTATCCTGAGCATCATGGTTCAGCAACAACTCAACAGTGACATCTAGTGGAGGCTGTGATGCTCTGCAGCCACTCTATTCACAATAAAAAAATAAAAAGATTCTAATTAAAGTTTCCAAATATACAGGTGCTGGTCATAAAATTAGAATATCATGAAAAAGTAGATTGATTTCAGTAATTCCATTTAAAAAGTGAAACTTGTATATTATATTCATACATTACATACAAACTCATATATTTCAGATGTTTATTTTGTTTAATTTTGATGATTACAAATGACAACAAATGAAAATCTCAAATTCATCATATCAGAAAATTATAATATTACTGAAGACCAATAAAAACAAAGGATTTATAGAAATGTTGGCCAACTGAAAAGTATGAACATCAAAAGTATGAGCATGTACAGCACTCAGTATTTAGTTGGGCCTCCTTTGGCCTGTATTACTGCAGCAATGCGGCGTGGCATGGAGTCGATCAGTCTGTGGCACTGCTCAGGTGTTATGATAGCCCAGGTTGCTCTAATAGTGGCTTTTAGCTCTTCTGAATTGTTGGGTCTGGTGTATTGCATCTTCTTCTTCACAATACCCCATAGATTTTCTATGGGGTTAAGGTCAGGAGAGTTTGCTGGCCAATTAAGAACAGGGATACCATGGTCCTTCAACCAGGTACTGGTAGCTTTGGCACTGTGTGCAGGTGCCAAGTCCTGTTGGAAAATGAAATCTGCATCTCCAAAAAGTTGGTCAGCTGCAGGAAGCATGAAGTGCTCTAAAACTTCCTGGTATGTGGCTGCGTTGACCCTGGACCTCAGAAAACACAATGGACCAACACCAGCAGATGACATGGCACCCCAAACCATCACTGACTGTGGAAACTTTACACTGGACTTCAAGCAACGTGGATGAAGTGCCTCTCTTCTTTTCCTCCAGACTCTGGGACCTTGATTTCCAAAGGAAATGCAAAATTTACTTTCATCAGAGAACATGACTTTGGACCACTCACCAGCAGTCCAGTCCTGTTTCTCTTTAGCCCAGGCAAGACGCTTCTGACGCTGTCTGTGGTTCAAGAGTGGCTTGACACAAGGAATGCGACAGCAGAAACCCATGTCTTTCATACGTCTGTGTGTGGTGGTTCTTGAAGCACTCACTCCAGCTGCAGTCCACTCTTTGTGAATCTCCCCCACATTTTTGAATGGGTTTTGTTTCACAATCCTCTCCAGGGTGCGGTTATCTCTCTTGCTTGTACACTTTTTTCGACCACATCTTTTCCTTCCCTTCGCCTCTCTATTAATGTGCTTGGACACTGAGCTCTGTGAACAGCCAGCCTCTTTAGCGATGACCTTTTGTGTCTTGCCCTCCTTGTGCAAGGTGTCGATGGTCGTCTTTTGGACAACTGTCAAGTCAGCAGTCTTCCCCATGATTGTGTAGCCTATAGAACTAGACTGAAAGACCATTTAAAGGCTTTTGCAGGTGGTTTGAGTTAATTAGCTGATTAGAGTGTGGCACCAGGGGCCATCAATTTTGAACCTTTTCACAATATTCTAATTTTCTGATATGATGAATTTGAGATTTTCATTTGTTGTCATTTGTAATCATCAAAATTAAACAAAATAAACATCTGAAATATATGAGTTTGTATGTAATGTATGAATATAATATACAAGTTTCACTTTTTAAATGGAATTACTGAAATCAATCTACTTTTTCATGATATTCTAATTTTATGACCAGCACCTGTATTTTAGAGTAACTTACCCAACTGTTATAATATCAGAGGTGAAACTGGAAGAACAGTATTTTATTAAACCTAATTTAGTTTTCATGGATAGGTGCAATCCTGCATGCATCAAAAGAACATGGCAGCAGCTGAAAATGAAATATAAAAACATACTTCAAGCAGGTAAGCCTTGAGCACATCATGGGAGTAGAGTAGCTACCTGGCTTTACAAACATTTGACATATTAAATGACTAAATGGCATTCAGTGTCTAGCAGTGCAGCAGCATTTTTGACAGGTCTAAATGTTCATTCTCATTTGACTTCTACTCAGCCAACAGAAAGAAGGCAGAGGCTCGTAAAACAGGGGGAGGACCTGCACCATCACCCCTGACAAATGCAGAAGAGATGGCCCTGAGCCTAAATGCTGGAAGGCCAATGGCTGAGGGAATTCCTGGAGGGACTTCATCAGAGCCAGTCACTCCAGAAGATTTAAGTGCCTTCATAAAATGTAAGAGGTCTACCTACAGTGTTATTTTTTTATGTAGACTAAATGTGATATTTCCATTTATATTACTTTGGGTTGGGTTTTTTGTTGGTCCCAACAGATTTGGATGGTAATATCTGCCTCTTGGAGCCTCCTGTCCCAACAGTACCCCATCCAGTTGTCAGTAGCCTACTCCATACACCATCAATTATGACAAATAGTATTATAAAGTGTACTCTATGAAATGCTCATCTTCACAGGATGATGGGGATGAAGAAACTGTTTCTGCTGCCACAGACAGGCCTAGAGAGGTCATTTTAATATTATTTGTCTACACATCAAACAATCTACACATTCACATTTATATGTGGAGTAGCCTATAGAATCCAAGTTTATATCTATAAATGGTCATTCTTATCTCTACACCCCAGAGTGTGGAAGAACAGCAGGAGGAAGGTCCATCAACTTCTGGTGCACAGATGGACACAGTTCAGTGATTTACAGTAAATGCCAGTTTCATTCTGAATTGTAGACTAAGGAGTTATATAGACTACTTCTTATTAAAAACAGCAAAGAACTTGTATACTTGGACCGCCAGATCCAAAAGGCAGATCTGGAAATCGACATTCTGAAACTAAAGCTAGAGGTGAGTGTATGGTCACAGGTGAATTCTAGGAAGTATTGAAACTATTTTAAAATCTTTTTTTTTTTAGCAAATGAAGAACACCATATAAATTGCTGTGATTTTGTTTATTAATTAGTTTATTTTGTGGTTGCATTTGTATGAAATAAAGAACACCATAAATTGCAAACAGTAGCCTTACTAATATGTTCAGCATCCCCGATGTTATAAAGAAAACTTCCATTCGCAAAGAAACGTAAGGCAACGCAAAGAATCTGCTCGGATGTAAGAGCACGGCCACGATGGTTGATGTTTCTGATGTAAGGATGGATGAGATTATGGATGTATCTTATTGACTGTAAAGAAAAACGGTAACGCTCAAATAAAAATGGATAGGGATATGACAAAAAATCCACTCTGGGCCTCAAAATTCTTTCCCGACGTAAATGTAATTCCCTACGAAGTAATACAGCCTCTTCGTCAACAGGATCATCCATTAAAGGACATGCCATTTCATTCCCTTTGATGCGCTCTACGTGACTGAAATGTGTGCAATGAATGAATATGTCCCCAAAGAATCAATGAGGTGTTTAAACACCACTTCCTCTTTAAAAAAGGGGAGGAGACCAAAATAAACTCTGGATTTTCTGAAGAAAACCTGCTCCCGACCAGGTTAGGTTCACAGAGTAAATTGCCATGGTAACTGACTCTGAGTATAAGTTACCTCTCTTTCAGAAACGGGCTTGACTTACTCTGCTTTCTCAGGTTTAACTTACCTTCCTTTCTGAAACAGAAAACCCAGAGTTTCCCTCATTTCAGGGTTAACAAACTCAGAGTTTTCACTTAACCTCCTTTCTGAAACAGGCCCCTGGACCTTTTCTGCGTTTAATATTTGTGCTTTAAAGCTACGAAACCTCCTGCAGTGATGAGAGGAGCGTCCAATCAGAACATTTTAAAGATCAGAGGCGTCAATTAGCAAAGAAATACTTTGTTCCTTTAAGCAGAAATGTTGGCTATCTGTACTTTATTGGAGTAATTATTTTGTCCACAATTTGTACATTTAATTTTTTATTTTTTTAATTAACTCTACTTTCTACTCCTTAAGCCTTTATCGGTCTCCGTCAGTCACGTGACATTTGTTGCTAAGACGCCATTTTTGGTGGAAAAGGCGTAGTGTAAACAACCGCAGTATAGCTAAACGAAGGACTAAAGGATTGAGTTTGTTTCTATGACTATATGGAAAAAAGTAAGCAGAATGCGAAATAACCGTACGGTGTCGTGCCAAGGTAGTTATCCCTGCGAAAAATTTGTATCCCCTCGTCGGGAGCGCGCACGGAGTAGGAAGAAAAGCCCG